TTTGGAGGCAGCATAGTCAAGGCCCAACTTGGAGGCTCCGAAAGAAAGCCCAGAAAATAGTGTGAAAGATTGGTTTGACTGAAACTTGGCCTAAAGATTGATGCTCACACGCTTGAACAATAACTCTATAGTGAGGACCTTATCTAAGGCCCTTAGATGAGGCCCTATCTCTTAATTATTGATTTAAATTGGTTAACCATTAAATCAAATTAATTAGTTTGATTCAACAGTTAAAATATATGAGTATGACCTCATATAAGGGCCTTATAGAATGACTCCATGTTTGAATTGAATAATCAACAAAGACATAGTTTCAAGTTCGAAGAAATCAAGTTCAAATGGGCTCAAACTTGTATTGAATTGAATAGCTCAAATCTCATCTTTAGAGTTTCAAAATGGACCTATAAGAGGTTCATGGTCCTATGAGATGCTACAATGGAGGGGGGTGGAATGAACGGTTCAATCTAACCATCCAATTATTAAACAAATTTAAGTCCAATATTTTCTCTTTCTTATTGAATAGTGGGATTGAACCTTTGTCACAACCCCCTCGTTGTAGCATTTCCATATAGTCCCCTAATCTAATTGCATAGTATTAAGTTCTGAGTCAACTTGCAATCCCTCACCATAGCCCCTCATTACGGTATTTCAAGCTAGCGATTCCTAATACTTGGGCAGCATGATTTCAGTGTATCCCACACCATTGTATCTCTATGGTGGATTTCATTTTCAATTTACCAAATGGTTTATACATTATCTGTGAATTCATCAACATTTTTAAGATTCCAAACACTTTTGAGAAAATGCATCTACGGCTACCTCGTGTTGTATATATTATAGTGATTGTAGAATGGCCTAAAAGAAAGAGAATATGTATTGCAAAAACATGGAAGAGCGAGCATGCACATGCCAATGCCATATTTAGGTCAATCGAAGGAGGCTCTATAATAATAGACACAACCAAGCCAAAAAGATCCAATACAAGTAAGAGGCGCTACAAACAGAGGACTCTGTTTTTTCTTTAATGGGTTTATATAATTTTTGTTGAAGCTAGCTATCTAGTCTACTGTGGTCATGTCTGATGCAAAGGGGTCCTAGATGAAGCCTAGTCTACTGTGGTTATGTCTGGTTAAAAGTTGGTGATGACACTTGAGCTGCAGTTTCAATCTCCATGGTTAATTAACAGTTGAAGATTCCCCTGTCATTCCCTCAGTTGAACCAGTAGCACTTTGAGGGCTGCCCTCATGAAAAACCTGGTGGGCCTGCCGATTCCTCCTCCTCCTCTGTTTCAGGGGGGATTTTACCCTCTTCTTTTCCCAAGTTCTTTTGCAAGCCACATCTGGTCTTCATTTCTGACAAAGGTTCAGGATAAGCAGCGTCAGTATGTTCCATTGATAGATCAAAAGAAAGTTCTTGTTTAAGGATCGAATATCAAGGTTTATAAATAGTACCCGATGAGGATTTAGTGTTCCAGATAACCTTTGAATCCCTCGGAACCACTATATCAACTCTTCCCACCATCTTTCCACCTACCATGTCAACTTCCATATCCACAGTCTTATTGTCATCCACGTTTTCTTGATCGACTGTTGACGGGAGTCCTTCATGTACCTTATTATGAGCAACATCCTTCTTTATACAACGAAAGATTCCCCATAAGAAGTCTGCCACTGTTGACATGAACCAGAATGTTAATGGTAGATAAGCAATGCATCTAATACAGAAAAAATCTAATTAAAAACTCCGAAAAAGGCAATCCAAATGGACTACACACACAAAAGAAAGCTGAAGTCATTGCAAGAGAGGAGGAAATTTATAAGAAAAAACTAACCCCGTGAGTCTAACTGTAGACTTCCTGATGTAAATATCAGCAACTCCACCCCCTTGCCATCAAAGCAAATTCGCATCATTGAATCTTGGTTCTCCATGCGGTTAATCAGCCGAGCATGGTTCTCTCTTGATCTACAAATCAGTAGGGACAAAATGTTATGATAGTTGCATCACCAACAAAACTCAAATATCAAAACCATGTAACCAGAAGACAAAAAATACCTCTCAATGTTTTCATCAGGGAAAAAGTAAAGGGCAACATCTTCAAGGACAGGGTCATCGTCTTGGAAGATATCAGTCCAAATACTGGATCGAGGAAGCCAGTTAGCATTGAGGATGAGAGGCATTTTTTGTGAAAATGCATAGGCTTTAGGATGGACCTTACATGGAGGTCGTGCTTGGAACCCACCAATGAATTCTCCAGGCGTGGCTGCATCAAGGATAAAGCCTCCCCTAAAGAAAGAAACATCAATGAAGCTTTTGAGAGCACTTAATTAACTCGATATATGTAAATATGTAAAACAGCAGCCATGACAAAACAGTGCATTCAGAACATCAACATAGGATGCAAAAGCGAACCCACCTAGAAGATTTAAGTTGGAAAAAGAAAAAACCACACGTATTCTTAAGGAACATTTTTCTCATCAACTTTTAATACAAAACAATATATTAACTCTAATTCAAATCAAAACATGAGTTGGCGAAATCATGATAGAATACACATATGTAACATCTTAAAAGAAGTTACCCACTTCCAAGGAGCATCTCGAGCAGGAAGATTCGAAGGCTTTAGATTGAGACCATCAAAAATATTCACGAGATCTGTTTCTTCACTATCTGCATGATTATGTTCAACAACACGAGTGTTACCACATAACTTATAAAGGGAGGAAGGTAGGTTCAATAAATGGCAAGCAACAAAATTACCCACCACAGTCACAACTGTGCTACAATTTCAATGTTGAGAAGATATATACTCTTAACTTGTTAGGAAAGAATTGGACACCCAAAAATAACACCTAAATATATTACCAATTTTATCGAACTTAAAAGAGGACTTAAAGAATAACTAATTCTGCAGTTCCAAAATAAATAATAATAATTTGTAAGTCATAACCCTTGCCTGGACTGGAAATAGGTGATGAGTGCCTCATTGTTGAAATTGTGCGTGGCTCCTTTTCTGTTTTGGACTCCATCTTCTTATAAGAAATTTCACCAACTAAGACATCCGTTAATTGCTTCTCCCCAATATACTCATTTCCAGAAGCTACGGAACTCTTTGTTTCTCCTATAACTGAGATAAGAGATCATAAGCATTGCACATATAGCATCCATTTACCATAGGAATAATATGCTATCTTCACACTTTTAATAACATATCCAAAGTATTTTGAACAAAAAGAGCTAGTAGATACAACAAGCCTCTCTCAACACTTTTACTAACCAAATTCTATTGCATGAACTCTACATTAAGAGCAATTTATAATTTTTCTTTCTATAAGAAACAGAAATTTAAGTTACAAACTTTCATTAAAACAAAGAAAGAAAATTACAAGAAAGAGAATTGTATTTACAATTGTCCAACAAAAGAATATATTACTTCAACTCATAGCTCCCCCTCTGATCAAGATGAATAATGAATCAAACTAAGAAAAATATCTCTATAATACTTTGTCTAAGACGTCTAATAAAGGCTAAAAATCTAGTCTGAGAGTAAAAATCTTTGTCCAAGGCATCTCAAACAATCCTCATAAAATCGTTATCATACACCAATTGCAATTGCACCAATAAGAGCAACCAATTGCACCAGTAATAGTATAGCAAAAAGCAAAAAGTTTCACTATCTAGCATGTACTCAATCATCCATATATACAAGGGGAGAATGGAGATGATGTGGCTCATAGAATCAAAGCACGATAGGTAAAATGGAGGGTTTTGTTAAGCACATATATAGCGTGATCATCTTATTTTGCTAGAATTGAAAGCTAAGTTTATAGAACATCTATTAGACCAGCCATGCTATATGGGACTGAATGCTGGACAGTTAGAAAACAGACATATTCATAGTTCCTGTAGGCACATATTAGCCAAATGTTACAACCAGCACCGTGATATGCACACCTCTATCTCTGTTTCTCTAATGGAATATTAGCCATTATTAGACACAAATTCTTAAGAGATTAGATTAAAATATTTATCACCTTTTGAATCCTTCAAAATTGGAGATGTTTGCTGAATAATCTTTGCTAGGCTTTGCATTTTGACACTCCCGCCACATCTAGGAGGGTTCACAGTTCTTGAAGGCATAATGCTAGGATTTGCTTTGATCGCAGACATAGGAAACTTTGGAGTCACAATTCTAGACCCAAAAGGAGTCCTTTTGGGGATAGGTGCCATGAAATTTAACTGACGAGGTTTGGAGCCGAAAGTACTTCGCTGAGATCTAACTCCTGATGATAGCCTGATGACTTCTTCATTTGGAATAAATTTAACTTTTCCAGTCTCAACAGGTTTTTGCCTTCTGGAATGAGCTTGCCACCCTGAATCATCAAGAACTCTGCTGGGACCGGCTGGATGCATGGCATCATGGTGAACTAAATCAGCAGAGGATGCCATTATGTCTTCTTCCTCATCAGGTTTTGGAGAAATCACTTCACATGATTCACAAACCCAATCATCTGGAAATTCCATTGGAATAATCCGCATGCAATAACTGAAACGGAGATATCACAATAAATTACGATAACTGAACTCACCCCTCCAGAGCAGCTATATTTTTTGGAAATGTCTAACTGAACTGACGAAAATAATTCAGCAACTGAACAGGGGAAGAAACTAGAGATCAAACCAACAAACTTGTGGTTCAAAATACCATGCATGGAAGGGCATACAATGGTGATGAGAGTAATTTAAAATACTTAGGAAGCTAGCAAGAAACGTCTTCTAGAAGGATCTTTTGTGGGATAAGTTCATTTTTGACCAACTTTGTGAAATTTGGTTTTTCTACTGAATTTTGTCAAATAATATTTTTCTTTATCAGTTTATCCGTGCATATTGGAAGGCTAGCTGGTGAATTACGTTTGTAATTAGAACTGATTGTTCACCTTCATTGTATTTTGATTTTGATTCACTGATATTATTGAGACGAAATACTATTCAGTTCTTAATTGAAACAGGCAAACAAAGTAATCAAATGCAGAGAGAGGGAGAGAGAGAGAGAGTCATACGGGTGTTCAGTACTTATATTGCATTTAATGCAAGTTGCAACGAGATTTTCATTAGTAATACCACCACACACATCACATTGTCCGACCTGAAAAGTAGAGCAGATCACATTGAAAAGATTAAAATAACTCAGCTAACTGAAGCTTAACTTAAGCAAAAGTTTCTTAGTGTCGGTCTAGCATTATTTATCAATTAGTAGAAGTACATATAGGACATGGAGATGTCATCTTTGGTGAACAACACAGTACATGAAAAAGTGGAAATGAAGTTTGATGAAAAATATTATGGCAGCCATGGTGGAACTATGAGGAATATGACTGAATGGTTCTTCTATAGTACTCTGCATGCATATCCACATTTTTCACAACTTCTGTAGTAGTTTATTATTCATCTAGTCAGTCCTTAAATAATCTCACTACGAGCCAGACTTGCAAAAAAGCTAAAGGCATGCTAATGGATACAAACTGGGATGGCAATCAAGTTGTATAATATGTTGTATTTAAATACACAAAACTTCTCTCCTACAGTCCTTGAGGCATTTAAACAAGGCCATGTTTCTCAGTTGTTCAATCAAGTATGGATGGCTGAGATGCTCTCAACCATCCCACGCGTGATTTAATACCTAAGAACATAGACATCATTTACTTAGAAGAGAGCATTGAATATGTACAAACGCATCAAAAATCTTACTCAGAAATTTTAAATTGTAGGAGATTCTAATTGGTTCTAACAAGAGATTATTCAAATCAACCAAATCATATCCAATCTTGTCAGGGAAGAAAAGTCAACAAAATGTGTTACAACTCTTTTTCAAGAGTTGACATTACGTGAATACCAAACAAAATGCAAATGCAACAAGAACACCATATGCAAATTGATCCTCTGCCTCTTCGGCATGACTTTTCCACAATTTACACAAAAGCCATCTAAATTTTTTTCTTTATATACTAGATTTCAATGTAACATTTAAAATATGTTCGAAGCATGTATAACATGCATTTGGTTTGCAAGTCCAATACATGCTTAACAAGGCATTGCTTCTTTCGAGACCAACCATGCCTTGTAAAAATAAAAGGGTGGGGAGTATTAGAAAGTGGCATAACCCAACTTGAACCAAATTCAAAATTATAAACGCATGATTTGGATTTCATTAAGTGTTGTTTCATAATCATCTGCTTACTATTATAGGCACTCTGGGGCAAAAGGAAGCTTAATGGCAATCATAAAACCAAGAAGAAAAAAAAGGACTTTATACAAAAAGAACTTAAAAATACATAAACAAATGCCAGAAAAAAAAAAAAAAAATTTAAGCAGAACCAACGGAAAAAAAATAAAAAATAAATCAACTTACAGCCAAAGGAAAACAAAAATCAAGAATAACTTATATCACCAACAAAAGTAACCAACCCACGTAGCTAAACCATAAAGGAAAAAACAAGAAAATGAGCATTACTTAAAAATGTTTATAAAAAAAAAAAAACTACAATGGCCCATATAAACAGTAAAAAAACCAGACTTTCCAACTGCAATGTACTGAAATAACATCGAAATGCAAAAAACTGATGATTCAAACATTACATTTACAGAGCCGACAATAATAGATGGAGGACAGAGAGGGTGGGTCGGCAGCAGCAAATGGACAAGTAAGGAGACAAAAAAGGAGGAGCTTTAGGGTTAATCGATACATTTACCAAGTGGGTCTCCTCTGGTTGCTCCATATTGTGCTTGCTTGGGATTGTTTTTTTTCAGACTCTTTTTGGTCCCCTCTCTCCCTTGTCTTGAAAGAAGTGTGGAGGCTATCTTCTAGCAGCTGCTGCTCATGAACTCACTCACTCTCAAAGAGAGAGAGAGAGAAAGAGAAAACAGAGAGAGAAAGCAATTATCAAAGCAAGTCTGTTTTCTGAAAAAGAATGTATCTTGACCAGATTTTGAAGGAACTAATACAACTGTACGGATGGGGTGTCGTGGCATTTGCCTATTGGCTATTAAGTGTTGTACATTGTACCCGCTATTCACGAGCCTTAACACAAAGCTTCGTGCATGCGAGCTGCGTGGACTGTGGTTGATAAAATCATATTTATTTGATTTACGAACCAAATGTTGGATAGATGAGTTAAATTAATGTTCTTTTTTCTGGGCGGGAGTTAAATTAAACGTTAGGTAATAGGGACTATCACCATTATGTTGGCCAAAAAATCACTATCTGTTGTTCTCGTGGTCCATTGTAATAATGTCATCAATGTGACAAGCATTTGCGGACCTCAATTTAGGAGCCAATATCATGTATGAAACTAACAATTTGTAATTTGCTTGACTTTTGCTTGATTTTGAGAAGGAATTTAATATCGTTCACCACTGCTAATTACATTGTAGCCTCTTTAATTTCCAGTGACTATGGTTACTCTCGGTTGAAAGTTATCACTGGGTTTGTTAATTCATGCTATGCCTATGAGCAGCTAATCATGTTCTTGGGAGTCAGAGAAAAGAAGAGAGGGAACTGCCAGATGGCCTTTTGCAGGGCAATATACTCCCCACAGGAAGGATTCCATTACTTCCAGTCCTACAAAAACATGGACACAAATGAATAGATTAGATTACATTGCAAAAACCCAAGAAAGCTTTCAATTATTCCGCACGAGCTGAGTGCATGTTATGAAGTCCCAAGAAGCTTAGATTTATACTCAAATTTAATAACACTTACTGAAAGAGAGAAGATGATGGAAGAAACTCAACCCACACAAACTGGGTGTGCAGTTCTCGTTTATATATTAAACTCATGTACAGAGAGTTACAAGTTTACAAGAATAACAATAAGCTATTTATGGATACAAGATAATGATAACAGTTGATATCAAACTCAGATGAGATGTAGCAGCAGATCACGTCGAGTCTGGATTAGGTTTATCACTTACCACAAGAATCTAGATTTAGCCTCCTAGAAGACAAAATCAATAGATTGACACCATTTATATGACTCCTCAGTGCCATATCTCGCATCTCTAGAAGTCCCAAGAGGCTAAAATACTGTTGTGTAGACCTACGTAAAATAATTGAAGGCTTCCTCAAATAGCATACGATCATCTATTTAGCAATTGCATATTAAGCACTAGAGATTTGATTCAGGAACAGACCTCTCAAAATCGCCAGGGGAAAAGAACAGTGCCACATCATTTACAGTGGGGCTGTCATTCTCAAAGATTTCTGCCAATACACTGCTACAAGGGAGCAACTTACACCAGAGCACGTTAGGCACGAGCCTTGAATACTCTACAGCTTTAGGATGGACTTTCCCCGGAAGATGAGCCCGGAATCCATCACAAAATTGACCACAAGAATCCATATCAAGGATCTCAAGGCTTCCACTAATCACAATCATCAAACAACAAATACTAATCAGATAAAATACAAGTTATAGGACTAGCTCATGAACAAATTCTCGTTTCGCCGACAATGATAGAGCTTTGGTAAAGGGAAGAGAGAGGTTGAATTAAAGTAAAGTAATAAAAGTCTCTAGCCAATGCTAATAATCTATCATATATTGACAGTATCATGACAATTTCAAAATAAAAAGTGGTGCTCTGTGCTCAGATGATATGCAGTGTTTGTGGGTGCATGCATGCTTGCTTTTCGCATTTATCAATAAATAAATGATTACGCAACTACATGAAATATGAGGTACTCACCACCAGGTAGCATCTAAAATTGGGTTACTTGGAAGATTTGTCTCAGGTTTGGGCAAAATGTTCGGCAGACCACATCCTTGAATGATAGAGTTCTTGGGTTTAGCATCAGCACATAAATTACCTCCTGAGAAAACACATATTCAATTAGCAAGTGACAATCACATAACTGAAGCACCATATTGCACACCAAAACATTATATTAAGTTATCGAAATTTTTTTTGCTTCAAAAGTTGATGCATGAAGTATGCAGTGACTCTGTCTTGCAAAGATTTTGAATCTCATACTCGATAGGGGTTGCTTTATCTGAAACTGAAATTGCAAGGTCAGTCATATTCATAAGGTACATGATTACCTTCTTACAGCATGTACAGTGGATATACAGTATAAAGAAACATATATCTTGCACATACACACACACAGACGCATGCAAGAGCTGATTCTCAGTGCTTAATATATAGCTGAGGACTTGTAGTTGATATGAGTAGAAGAGTCAAATTTAACTGCCGCTTTGTTCAATCATTCTCACCATCCATCTGGTGGGGGCCTATACTCAAGACCATGCATACTCAATATGTAATGCATAAAAAGATTTGAGATACTGCAACAATTAATTTTGACCCTTGTGTTTGCCAAATTTTTTTAGAAAAGTTTTCCATGCAATAAATGTTAGAGTTATCTTACATTTTAATTCAGTACAAGATTTAGGCTCTGGTGCCGGAGTGATTGAACTGATTTTTTCACTGCCATGTCCAGAGAGCTTTAAATCTCCAGCAGGGAAATTTTTTTAAGTTTCCTTCACCTTCTGTGAAGAATTTTTTTAGGGGTAGATTTTAACTCAGTGGAAGCCCTTCGAGACATTGTTTCCATGGTATCTATTCGGATAGAGCTTGAGTGCAATTTACTTGGTGAGGGCAATTCCACCTTTTGAGCTCCAGATGACATTTTAAGAGCTTTTTCAATAGGAATAAACTTTACTTTGGCAGTTCCCAAGGAAGTTGGCTTTCGAAGATGACCTGAACTGCCTGACTCTTCAACAAGCCTTCTGGAACCCACAGATCGAGACATGTCAGAGTGGATTATCTCAAAGGTGTTTGATCCTTCCTAAAGCCTTCTGAAAGAGTATTTTTCTAACAGATTTTTGAGTGACTGATCTCCAGAACGACATGTCTCACAAAACCAAATTTCTGAAACATATTTAAGGAGGACCTGTATGCAATAGCTGGAAAGAGAAACAGTAACATGTTTGGAATAAGTGTCCAAATCGGCTATACAAAATACACAAATAAAAAACACACTGCAACTGATTATTCAATATTAACAAAAGCAAGAGGATGGATATTCTGCAATTCCATTGAGATATAGATACAAATCAAGCGGTATAAGTTATACAGCCATTAGGAAGTGGGTGACAACTGAAGCTCATTTGGTTATGTGATTAAGCAATGACCAGGTTTATTAAGCAAAGAAGTATGTTCTTTTAACTAAGTCTTTCAGAATATGTTCTTTTAACTGTTTATGTTTAAACAGGAAAACAAAGGGAATAACAACACGCAATCCCCTCTTCCCCCAACGAGTGCACTCATGGTTCTAGAAAGTTCTAAACGTATATCAACAAAGTTATCAAACAGAAGACAACCTTAAAATCAGAACTGCAGTCCAATTTTAACAGAAAGATATGAGCTATACAAGTGGTAATAGGAACCAAAATATAAAAATAATGAAAATAAGAACATAAGAACATATATACATCAATGTGCATGGCCACTAAAACACAGGGTCACACGTGCATGTGTAGGCGGACACACACACAGGCACACAATCACAGAAAAAACAAATATACAGATAGATAAATATATGCATAAGAGAGAGAGAGAGAGAGAGAGAGAGAGAGAGAGAGAGAGAGAGAGAGAGAGAGAGAGAGAGAGAGAGAGAGAGAGAGTAGATAAATATATGCATAAGAGAGAGAGAGAGAGAGAGAGAGAGAGAGAGAGAGAGTACTTTTAATTCATACACGTGTTCCCGAGCTATTTTAAATTGAAAGCAAGTAGCAATCAGCTCTACAAAGCCTGTTCCAACACATACATCACAAGGTTTGTCCTACAGAATAAGAAGATCGAATTAGACATTATAGACAAGTTTCTTCATAGAGATAGGTCCATTTGCCTCAGATATATATTAAAGAATACTACATATAGATCTTTGACATCCCGTACAAAACATTGTAAGGCATAACAGAACGTATGTGGTTTCAAGTGGCTGCAGATTCTTGCTGGAAGTACATACAGGGCAAACTCGTGGCTTTAAAACTGAACAACAGGTGAGTGGTGCTTTTAATACTGCAGGCTTGGTTGTTGTTGCTTGATGACAGTAGTTAATGTTGGGGAAACACCGGTTTCCCCCTCGTCACAACATAACCCGATGGAAGAAATAAATAAACAAACCAACAAACTCAAGATGACAATGAGTAAATACATGAGAGAACACACCAAGAATTTACGGGTTCGACAGATAACCTGCCTACATCCCCAGAGAGTCACCACCTTCACTATAACATGAGAAAGATACAAGTACAAGAATAACCACTCAAGAGTTTTATACCCAAACCCGAGTCCCGTATCCAATAGGATACACCCCTTGTACACCCTCTCTCATTCAAGTGAAAAACACTCTCACCCCAAGAGATATACCCTCTCTTGAACCCTTGATGAACCCAGCTAATTCCCAGCTAAAACATCCTCCGGGAGTTTATGGACTGCTTGCTTGCATCTCACAAGCAACCCACTCTCCCTCTCTACCGTGCTCTCTCTCTGGTGCCTTTCCTTGGTGCGGCTGAAGCACACCAGCCCACACCCTCATGCCTTTGGTGCGGCTCCTCTGCACACCCACTCACATACCCTTGCATGCCCATTGTATAACCAAATGAAAGGGCTGATTTTTTATCTCCAAAAAAATGATGTTGGTCAAAGAACATCCCCCATCATTGCACCTTGTCTCCCACCAAAGGCATCATCATTCAAGACAAAAAAAACTATTCCTCCACTAAGGAGGAAACCCAAGGCGCCGAAAGCATGTGTAGCTCCCCTATTTTTCTCCTCCTTTTCAGCCATTAATTATTGACCATGCATGCATATTCCATACATGCATCCGTGTGCTTTGAGAGGGAAAAAAACAACAGCCGCACATCTTGACTCCTCTAAGGAGGGATTTCCAACAGTTAAGAAATAGACTTTAATGAGCCTATGAAAAGTACAAGGAGATTGCTAAATGAGCAAAAGGAAAGAAAAAAAAATTCCATGCTGGCTGAGCACAGTGTCATTGTCAAGTTGGGCTTTCAGCGATGAACATCCAAGTTCAGCTTTAATGAGGCAAATGCAAGGACAGAGATGGTTTTAGTAAAGGCTTTGAAAACAGGAACTTGTAACTACACCAAGAACCACAGCTATAAGATACAGCGTTTACAAATTGAAATTTGATAATTTTGATTGATTATTGGATGAGAAGTGGGAACTGCTACCTTTTAAGGAGATTTTACCAAGTTCTTTGTTAAGAGCTCAATATGAATATTCCATCCAGCGAGATAGCAAACAGCATTTAACCCAATGCATAGGACCAACAAAGCTCAGATTTAACACAAAACTCAAAACTCCTGTCCAATCAACTGCTATTTTTATCCACAGAGCCAGAAGTTTATGGAGAACAAGTTCCTTGGGAGAATTTTTTAAAATGTTAGCCATCTTGGTGTTATAAATTATGAACCAGAAATCTTGGAGCAGTTTGCAATTACGTTTATTGAGATAGAGTTTTGTACAGAACCAACAGACTGTCAGAGCAATGCTTTCTTGAATCTTGACCACCCATTTCAATTTTGAAGACTTGCCCAAGAAATTCAATCATATATTACAAAATAAATCTTCAATTGTTGGTACACATAATGAATGAATGAAATGAAAGAATAAGACCAAATTACTTGAGAGAAAGAAGTGTGAATTCTAGCATTTTGCTGCTTCTCATTTTCTTCACAATCTAAAGAGCTCAAATCAAGGCACTTAGGGAGTGTACAATAAAGATCATATTCCACATTACATCATAATCAGCCAAATAGTTAGTAAAAAACAAATAAATAAATAAAACAGCAAAACAGGGTGTTCAAGTTCAACAGTAGCTATATGTGGTAAAATCAAGTACATTGAAGTTTGAACAGTGAAGAGCAACTATCACAGATTCACACACTAGACAAGCAAAGCAAGTAGAAAATAAATAAGGAAAACAAAAGCAGAAGCAGACAAATGAAAAAGAATGGAGAATATTGATGAAAGAGAAGGGTCTTTTAAGGGTGTTTACCATGTGGGTCTTTCTTGGACCTCTCGCTTTTGCTAATGGTATTCTTTTGCAAAAACATTCTTGGTGCTCTGCTCTCTAATGGCGGCTAAAGCTGGCGGGTACCGATAGAGAGATTCGCTCAAATAGCAACACGAAAATGCACCTGGAGAGTGATTTTTAATCTAAAATCAAAAAAAGGTACAGCATATTAAGTGTCAAATTCATTTTAATTAGTTCGAATGATTTGGCATTTCGTGAATAAGGCTAAATATATAATGTCGTTATTATTACCCTATGATATTACAAAAACAGCGATGGCATTGTTGGCTTTTCACGGTTTGGGTTGCGCCTGACGTCGTCGTTTTGAAGTAGGAGATATGACTTATATAATGTGTTAAAGTATTAAACAAAAGTGGGCCCTTGGTTGCGCCTATCGTAGCTCCCTTCAGATAATGCTGCTACTTAATATGAATTTTTCAAAAAAGGATCCCAGTATATATAGCCCAGCGGCTATACTATTTATTAAACAAAAATCAAAACCAAAAAAACCCAGTACAGCCGGGCGGCTATACTATTTTTAAAATTTTAAAAAGGATTATTTGCAGCAATGGTCCCTCAACTATACCCCAAGTTACACTTTGGTCACTCAACTCAAATATTAGTTGCAGAGGTCACTCAATTAGGTGTTTTGTTGCACCGTTAGTCCTACCGTCAAGTCTGTTACTTTTTCTGTTTAAAATAATGACGTGGCATGCATGTCTTAGATTATTGATGGGCAAATGTGACTTTTCAGTTAAGATTATTTGTAGCAATGATCCATCAACTATACTTGGAGTTACATTTTGGTCACTCAATTAGGTGTTGTGTTGCACCATTAGTCCCTACCGTTAGAGAGACTTGACGGTAGGACTAACGGTGCAACAAAACACCTAATTGAGTGACCTCTGCAACTAATATTTGAGTTGAGTGACCAAAGTGTAACTTGGGGTATAGTTGAGGGACCATTGCTGCAAATAATCCTTTTAAAAAAATAGAGAGGACCTGCCTAGCAATTGTGGGCTCACGTGTCAAAAAACGTATAGCCGAGCGGCTATACTATTTTTTTAAAAACATTAACAAACAAGGCCGGCTATACTATTTTTAAAAAAATTAGGGAAAATCACGTATAGCCGCGCGGCTGTACTGTATATAAAACATAATTAAAAAAAGGGGACCAGCCTGGCGCCTCCTAGAGATTAGGCGCCCACGTGTCGAAACGGTATCGCCGCACGGCTATACTATTTTTTTTTTTAACATTAAAAACTGAGTCTAGCCGTTCGTCTATACTAATTTTAAACAAATTAAAAAGGGACCGGATTAGCGCCTCCTAGGGGCTAGGTGTTGCGTAGATACAGCTGCACCAAAATGGATTCAGTTGCATCCTCAACTTGTGATACTCGCAAGTGCAGTGCGGCTATAACGTTTTTAGAAAAACCGTATATAGCCGCCCGGCTATACTATTTTTTTTTTTTAAAAAAAAAAAATTATAAAGGACCCGCCTATTGCCTCCTTGCGACAGGATGTGTAAAAATAGTATAGCCGGCTATTCTATTTTTTTCGGTCAAACCGAAGTATACCCTTTATATACATTATATTTAAAAGGTATAGCTGCGCGACTATGCTATTTAATAGAAAATAAAAAAAGGACCCTTCAAGTTTCATCAGTTTATACTTTATAGATATTAATTTGCTAGTTTCAACATATCCAAATGAGATATTGAATAGAGAAATTTCTCAGTAAATCAATTTGAGAGTTGAATTTTTTTTATTTTTTATTTTTTTTGTGTGGGAATGGTTTATATGAATTTTTCTTTTTCTTTTACTCAATGTTGATGAGAATTCGAATTTAGGATTTCTTTCAACATTAGAACGATAAATATCTATACTAATAATTATTTGGTAATTTTCTTCTATTCTTTTTTAATATAAGCGATAGTCTCAACTATAAGAGGAGAAGATGGGGGTTCATATATACTACTAAGGTGTTATGAGGATTCGAACTTGAAGTCATAAGTTAATACCATTTTCCTCTATTCGTAAACCACAGTTACGAAGACTATAATATCATAAATTTAAACCACATTTGTTGTTGAGTATATGAGAGGATTAATGTATACTTATAAAATCAATTATTATGATATTGTATTTAATACATGCGTAATGTGATTATTACCTTTACTCACTTGTTAACTAAAACAAGAGACACATGGTATTGCATTCAGAAACCTTATGAATTAGTCCCTTGAGCCTCTTAATATATATAATAACAAGAATGATACAAGGCTGCTTACACAGATAAAGCTTTGCAAACAAAAGCAAGTCCAAGTAGCTAGCTAGTAGTAACTACATGAAGAAAAACTCTGAGTGAGAGGTAATTAATTGTCAATTGAAATTTTGGTATGTAGCATATAACTAATACAAGTTTGGCCTAAAATCACTCAAGCAAAAAACAAGATTAAGTAATTAAGAGTGTTTATCTATTCACCGAATTCAATTATTCTCCTTGAAATATCGATTGTGAAAGAAAGGGTTATTTACTAAAATGGTTCTTAAACTTATAACCGAGTTGCATTTTAGTCTCTCAACTAAATTATTTGTTCAGATGGTCCACAAACTCTTTATTAATAGACGAATTGGTCCTACTGTTACAAAGAATTTGGGCTAAGAGATTGAACCCTTTTTCTCTTTTGGGTCAAGGCTATGAGATTGAACCTTACGCTCAAAGGGCACTTGAGCCTTTACAACAACCCCAAAAAAGGGCGGTTGGGTATCACATTTCGCATCCTCCATGATGGTGATGATGTGGTGATAATGATAATGATGGAAATGATGGTATTGATGATGGTGATGGTGATGATGACGATATAACACCCATCAATGCTACACTCATCACATTTTTATACCACATGATGTGTCATTTCCATATCATATGCCACATTAATTAAATTAATTAAGTGTATTTTAATAAAGAAATTTTAATTAATAGTGTTTTTTAAAATGTTAATAAATCATAAAAAAAAATTAAATAAATTTAATTTATGTGGCTATCCACCTCATCAGCCACATAAAGTGATATAAAAATGTGGTATATAAATGTAGTAAGAGTAGCATTATTCATCTAAAAAAATAAGGGAGAGAGAAGAACAATATTTGTTGCCTGACATGGAAAGAAGGTCCTCACATGGCAAAGTAATTTATCTTGGATTTCACTCTTGGGTTACATAAATTGCAATAGATGGGGAGTGGAATCTACGTTAGAATGAGGGGTTAGTGTGAGGTGTTATAATGAGGGGTACTTAATAGCCGTTTGATTCAGTGAAAAATTATTATTGGACTGTTGAATTGAACTCTCTCGTTGTAACTCCTCAACATAGCCCCCAAACGTGGAATCTAAATAAATGCAAAAGAGTATATATTGCAGTGACATTTGAACTACAGCATACCCTAAAATAAACATTCAGAAGAAAAAAAGTGGTAAAAACAAAAGAAAATCATAACGTGCTTTTAGCTACAAGAAGAGAAAACCGAAGCCCATTTCACAATATTCTAATTTCTCATGACCAGTTTGAATATATGAATCAAATTCTGAAATTCAGAATCAGAATATGGAGCACAAGTGCACAACAACAACGACCGATGTTCCAGATATCCCTGAAATGTCAGGACATGCAAAGCACTTTAAAAGGTTAAAAATTTGAGTTAAACAAATGATGGGAAGTGGGAAATACACGTACAATTGGATTTAAAAATTGTTGTAACTTATTGGTTGCTCGTCTTTTCCGAGCAAAATACTTTGCTAATTCGGATTTTTGGGATGCTTCTGTGGGTAAGATATCCTCGTATTGTTGGCGTAGCATCTTTGCAGCAAAGCAGGTCCTTGCTAGAGGTACTAAATGGCAGGTGGGAGATGGGTCTTCTATCCGTGTCTGGTCATTGTAACTTTTATCTTGTACATGACGGCTTCCTTGTTGTGACTATATGAAATACAATGGAAGAGGACAATAATTTAGAAATTATAAGCTATCTCACAGTTTACTAAATCATGCTATAATTATCATGAAAAATATATACTTACTTGAGTACATGCATGTGCACTTATCATATCCTCCACATTCTTATTGTGAGGCTGTAAACAATTAAAGAGAAGCTTGAGAAAAAATTTGTGATTTAATAAATAACTATATGAATAAATGCTTCGTAAATTATTTTAAGAGTTGTATACCTCTTGAGACATTTTAATAAATGCTTCAAGTTTGGCTTCAATTAGCTCCATCCTTTGAGATTGAGATTTCACTACGGACTCAAGTTCCTTCACTCGTCCGCTGCCTTGAATTACTGCATCTACTCTAGAGGGTGTTGCACCAAACCCAAGCCCTCGAACTCGGCCACGACTTTCAGGTCCTATAACTCTTGCTATAGCATCATCTCGTATAGAATTTCTCGATGGTGGATTCTCTTTCGACTCATTGCACGTCTTTATATCTTTCTATAACATATAAAACAAACAGATATAAGTCACGGGTTTTGATTCAAGACCTTTTACTTCATGTGATTCTATGTGTGTATGCCTAAGCATTTATATATAACTGGTGGCTTCTTCTTTACTCTTCCAGAATTTCCTTTTAATTCTTCCAATTTTCTATATGATTTTGGAAGTTTTTGAAATTAATGGATGGATTTGTTGTTTTATGCAGATACTAACCCTTTTCTTTTGGCCAGTTATATCTATATCGCCAGTTATATCTATATCTCCCTTTTACACTTCTTACTCTTTTTTATGAATATCACAAGTTCACTACAGGACTAGATTAGCAAGATGGTCCATTGATGTTGATTTTGGTAGACAGTTGCTTGATGGAGAATGACCATTAATTATCATAGATTCACATAAGCTTAATAAACTAATATCACTAACGCAGAAATAAATATTCTTATAAAAATTAATGCATCATAACCAAACCTCATCAACTTCAACAAAATAAACCTCATCTCCTGTGGGTTCCAGAGTTTTGGGGGTCTCAGCCAACAACATGATGGGGTGGCTAAAATCCACTTTTGAGCTTCTGCCTACCCATAGCTCTTCTCTGGTGTTAATGACTCTCTGGGCCTTATGGAAAGACCGCAACTCCCGACTTTGGGAGGGCACTGGTACGAGTCCTGCTTGCCTGGTGGCTCTGGCTCAGTCTTGGTTGAGCGATTTTCATCATATCAATAATGTTAGTCGTATACCCCAGGCCACCCATGTCCCCCCTCCTCGTTGGACTGCTCCGTTGGAAGGCTTTTCCAAGATTAACGTCGACGGCTTTTGGCGTGCCGATGACCGTATTGGGGGTTTTGGGGTGGTGATCAGGAACGAGTTTGGTGCTGTTCTGGCTACTGGTGCCTGGAAGCGCGACAACCTTGGGTGCTCTGATCAGACCCATGTCGTGGCTCTGCTAGCGGGCATGAAACTTGCTGCTGACCTGGGTATTACCCATGCAAACTTCGAAAGTGGCTCAAAGAAAACTGTGCTTGCAGTCAGGAAAGCCAGCTCCTTTGACTCTCCTTTAGGTGTCCTCTTTGCTGATTGCGGGGCCCTCTTATCTCATTTCCATTCGGCCACTGTGGCCCACGTTCCAAAAACTTGTAATAGAGTAGCTAGTAGGCTCTCTCACTTTGCTTTAAGCGTGAGCCAGGATTGTCTCTGGCTCTTGGAGCCTCCTGACTTACTTCAAGATCTCCTTTTTGAGGAGTGTATCCCTGGTTTTTAACTTTGTTTAATGAAACTTTCTTCAAAAAAAAATTGTTGTAACTTGTAACCATGTGGAGGGGAGGGTCTCCATTGATCTTGCAATCTCTCGTATTTCTAGTAAACCTTTCTGTACGTATATAATAGGATATAATTTTTTTAACGAAGAAAAACTTCTCTACCCGGTTGCAAGGGGCAATGCAACAAAGGGCAATGCAACACGGATGTGGAAGTACTTCTCCTATTTCCAAGGCAGATTCTCAGCAAGAACAAATATATTAACCAAGGCCATCGATTATCAGCAGAAAATATAGCAAAGTGAAGTGCAGATCTTCCTTTTTGGTTTCCTTATGATTTTTACGTTGTAATTAAACCCAGGCCTGCGAGTAAAAGTAGGAGGTTGGTGAGAGAAACTAATGCTTCAATGAAAAGCTTGGTCCACCACCATGATCAATGTGGACCAGAGCAATAAAAGGATCAGACTGCAACTTATTAAGGCCTATGTCCTTTTCAAAAAATTCACCAAAGATCATGTTCTGCCATGTTAACTGGTATGAACCTTTATATAGTTTTCATTTTTTTTCTTTTTGGATTTATACTGAAGGCATTATAAATTTATTGAATGTACAGTACACCCTGGCAGGATCACGAGGTAGCCAACACCAAACAAGATAAAAAATAATCTAAAATAATGGGCCAAGGAGCAAAAGAAGAAATAAATAACCATACTGAAACAGGGTTCTCCAATACCAACTAGGAAAATAGGTGCCAAATACTCATCAAATTAATAGACTAGCTAGCTAGCAGTACACCCAGATTAGATCTAATGTACAAAAAACAGAGAAAAGTTGGAGACAGAAAGACAGATGCTTTTCCATAGTCACTCCCACTAAGCAATACCACCCAAAAGGAATCAAAAGCCCATCTGCTTTTTTTCCCACATAGAGAACTTAGAAGGGTGAAGATAAAAGACAAAAACTTGGCAAGGCTGGCCCTAAGATGAACACCTACAAATCAACAGCAGACTCACATGCATCATACTTGCATATTGAAATCCAGCATCATCTCTGTTCCACCCCTACCCCACCTCACACCCTCTAATTTCTTTCTCAACCCCACCAAAGCATCAAGCCTGAAACGAATAAGGTTAGAATAGAAGAAAACAAACTAGCATCAACAAGTCTAATCACACCGCTGTCGTCCGAGTTGATGCCAGCTCCTGATGGCCCTACGCCCGTGCCAATCCCTCCTAATACCCCAGGAGTTGCAGTGTACGGAGTGGTGGTTGTCGGCGTTGTAGTACCAGTTGTGGGAGTGGTGGAGGTCGTTGGGGTTGTGGTACCGGTGCCGGTGCCTGTGCCAGTGCCGGTGGATGGCGTTCCAGTGCCAGTGCCGGTGCCGGTGGATGGCGTTCCTGGAGTATTTGTTACTGGAGTTGTAGTAGTGCCTGCAGTGCTGAAGGACAAAACGGAAAAACAGCATTCAGCGCAGAAACCACAAAAACTAGAAATTCCAGACAGAAACCTCCAAGCACATGATCATCATAAGCACATTGAGTGAAACGTAAAAATTAAAAAATCATGGGTGATACACAAGTTCATAATTTTGCAAGAAATTTACCGTGCCATATGGTTATACAGTGTCTGAATAGAGACCATGTGGCATAAAGCTTACCACCTTGAAAATCTAATGTGTTCAATAACACCCATTTGGACTTTATCATATAGAGTTATTCATAGGTCCTACTGCTTTGGGATGGAATCATGGAAGATGATATCATTAGTATTATAAGTCATGCCATTGTAATTCCTGTATACTATATTCCTCACGTCATCTTGAGCCATGAAAATATTCAAATAGAAGCTATAGCATTATCTTTTGAAGATAAAACCGTCCTATGAAATTCATTGTAAAAGAACAAACATGATCTTGCAAATGCAGTTGAGCTAAGAGAGATGCTCAAAAGGCAAGCTTTGATCTTTGTTCAAAAGAAATGAGCTTCCTGTGAGATTGCTTGCACTCTTCGTGCAAATACTTGCCAGTCTTTTACTAAAGATAATATCAGCCTATTGATTACCTAGTCCATTGAAGTACTTGATATTGTATAGGCGGTGACAATTAGCACATGAATCCTAAAGAATAACCAAATCAGACAATCCCAGTCAAAACCATCTAGTATAGTAACATGCTATTATTAACATCTAGATATACCTCCATTTTTCATTACTAAGTAGTCCAGGAACAATGCTCCCTCACAAAAAACACTGTCTAGATCTACTTATATGTGAGAGGAGAGAGCATTGCTGCTGGAGAACTACTTTCAAACAAAACAACAGCATAAGTAACCAGCATATAAATCATCAAAGGTAGTTCTTGAAAGCTTTTGAAACAAGAAAGCTAAAGTATTCATATAGGTATAAATGTTAAAAAGTTAAATGAGATATATCAAAGGTAGAAAAATAATAACTGGGAAAGTTAAAAATAAAATAAAAAACAAGAGACAAATAGGAGCAACAGTAATGCATGATATGTAAGAACATGAATAAAAAGAAAAAGAAAACTCAGTTCAGAGGAGTAGGATTAAAAGGCACAGCCGTCGAGGATACAAAACTTCAAAAAGTTAGCTCAAATCTCAAAAAGTTTATCATCCCAAAGCTTTGAGGTAGCTTTTGAATCTTATTGAGATTATATATTGTCCCACTATGAAAGTGGTACTGTGCTTTTTGCCAGGGACAAAATTTGCCCCATCACAATGTGGACAAAATACCCCTTAACCACAGTTAATGGTGGCCACTACTTTTGAATTTTGACTCTGAAAAAGACCAGGCAAATGTAAAATGGGGCTGTGTGGTGTACCTAAAGCCAAAAAAAGGTCCTGGCATAGGTGGTTCAGTAAGGATCAATTTGTAATTTTGTGAGATATTACCCTTTGCACTGTTCAATTCAACAAGACTTAACCTTTTGGTAAAAAGCATTGGATCCCAATTATTTGCAGCATCTTTTGTGAAAAATGAACTGAGCTCCACTACCAACAAATGGGCAAATCAGTCAGGGACATCATGATGCAATTACAATATTAGTCAAACGGAAAAAGGAGCTCATTTAGATTAGAAAAGCAAAAAGAAAAAGGAGCGTATCGGATGTTACATGAGATACATCATACATTGAAGGTATTCACAAAGAAAACAGTTAAAAGTAATTGTGATTGGTTTGAAAAAAGCATCCTTTTTTCAATGATAAAAGCAAAGATGCCTATTCCACCAAGGGAAAGATGTAATGTAAAATGTAAATGCAGATTGCTTAAAGGGCAACTACTTGTCTCTTCAAACGGGCTACTCCTACAGTCCTACTCATGCTTTATGAAAGAAAGTAGTAGTACATTTTGACTCTCCCCCAAAATTTGAAATACAAAGAGTAAAATGATGACATTTGAAAGATTCAAGCAGTGGTAACAAAAACTAAACAAAAATAATATCCTTGGAAAATATAGAAAATGGGTCCAAAGCCATACCTGGCGCTAGAGGGGTAAACACAACCAGTTATGCCTGTAAATCACCATGGTAGAAATGAAAAGAGTTACAACCTTGCTCAAAACTATCTGAACCTACCCAAAAAATTAAAAGGACAGAAGGAGTTGCAGTTGGGCTTACTGGGATCAGATGTAACAGGGTTTGCTGTGCCAGCAAAGTCACAAGAGCCTTGAGCTTGGCCCTTCTTCTGAAAATAGCTGTTAACAGCGTAGTTGCAGTGAGCTTTAACAGTGTTGGGGTTGTAGCAACCCCCATTTGAATGGATGGGGTTACAGTCAGCCCCAGCTCCACAAGCATAGTCCAGTGTCTTCTGCCAGACTGCGTCACCTAATCCCTCTTTGCAAACACACCAATTGGCACCTATACAATTCCAAAGAAAATAAGCAAATAAAAAGTAAAAGAGTACAAATAAAAAAAAGGGAGAAACTTGCACATCTAAAGCGAGAGGAAGAAAGGGAGAGTGTATATAAGGTAGGAAGATCAAAGATCAGATCTTTTTTTTAAAATAAATAAATAAAAATGGGAACATAAATAAAAGTAAGAATTTAAAACAAACAAGCAAGGTTAATTAAGGTCCTTGAGCAATTTCTTTGTTGATAGCTTCCACTACATGAAATGAAAAGGTCTAAGCAGAAAAACCATTATAACATACAATGGAAGGGTGCACTGGCTTCAAATCCACAAAAGATAGACACATTACAAGTAAAGATGTCATCTTTGAAAAGATTACATGATTTTAGAGGTTCCATTTAGAAATAAAGATGGAAAGCAAGAAAGAAAGAAAGAAAGAAAGGCTGAAACAACCATGCCTTATAAGGAAAATATGGAAAATATTATATAGATGTGCGAGTATGTTTCAGCTAAGCAAGGTCTTACTTGACTGGCCAGCCATGGCTAAGAGAAGCAGTGCTGCAAAAGCTAAAACATCCATGATTGAAGAGAGAGTAGTGTGTGTCTGAAGTTAAACAATGGTGCTCAAAGCAAGCTAGCTCCTGCTGCAGCCTGATACAGAGAGAGAGAGAGAGAGAGAGAGAGAGAGAGAGAGAGAAGGAGAAGTGGTATGTGGGGGTGTGTGTGTGAGAAAAGGGAGATGGGTAATATCTAGAAGAAAATAAAAAAAATGAAAAGAAAAAGAAAATTTTGTGAGAGAGAGATAGAGACAGTGATGTTGACGGTGCGGTGATAGTGGCCCTGTGTATGTGGTGTCGGCTTGAGGGTGCTTTTCTCTTTTTCTGTGTCTTTCTATGTGTACCATTTTTATACACTGTTTATATCTCTTTTACCTCATTCAAAATTAAAACTAGTTTCATTTCATTTCATGGGAAGTAGCATCTCAATCAATGTGGCCGAATGTTTGGCTCTGCGGGATGGGCCTGGCCCATGCTATCAACAATAGCTGGAGTAAGTGTTAATTGAAGGTGAATCTAAACTCGTCATTGACTGTATCAATAACAAAGTGTTGGTTCCTTGGAGCATTCGTCTCTTGATTCAAGACGTTAGATTGCTCAGCTCCTACTGCGAAGAAATCTCTTTCCACCATGTCTTTTGGGAAGCAAATTTTACTGCTGATGCTTTCGCTAATTTAGGCCTTAAGTTGAACCCTTTCCATCTGTGGGAGCAGGGGCTTCCTCTTAGTTGTTCTATTCCGTTTTATTTTGATTTAGTTGGGTCTGCATGCCCTTGTGGTTTTCGGTTGTAAGTCTACTTTTCCTATAAAATTAAAATAAATAATAAATAAAAAAACAGAGCCTGCTTTCTGGTCTTGGTAATCAGTTGCTCATATGCCAAGCCATATAGCTAACTGCACCACGCTACAACTGGGAATTTGAGGGGAACAAAAAATATGTACTTTATTAAACTACATTAAAGACAAAATTGGTTGGCCATGGATACGATTCAAGAGACAAACTTTGACACAATTTTGCCTGGTAAAGCATGGGTTACTTTATATGTTTATATATATTCTTAAAAATAAAACAGCAATAATGAAATCCTAAACCCTAAACCTGCCGTGAAGACATTTCCCTTCGAATTTTGATCTGTCCCGACAAATTGTAGGAAATTTTGTTGAATTCAGGTAAGGGGCCCTCATTCAAAGACCCCAACGCTTTTTACAGCTGAGATGAAAGTTAAAATGTGATATTTTTCCATTCTAATTGTATTTATACGCAACTTGACTTGTGTGAAAGTATTCTTTTATTATTACATGGCTCGTTTGTGAGTGATTTTGGAGAGGCCAATAATCACTTTTATGAATAATCACGTAAAGTAATTTTAAGTAAGTTTACGAAGAAGCACATCATCTTCCTATAATCATTTAAAATCACTAAATGTGATTTTTTTGGAGAAGAACGTGGGAGATTCTTATTCCCATAATATAGAATCACTCCCAAATAATTGTATGGAGTGCTTCTCCCTAGAATTACTTTTTTATTTATTTATAATTTTGCCGAAATCCCTAGAATCACTTGAAATCACTACTGATTATGCCCTATCTAGAATCACTCTTCTTCCTATAATCATTTAAAATCACTAAATGTGATTTTTTGGGAGAAGAACGTGGGAGATGCTTATTCCCATAATCTAGAATCACTCCCAAATAATTTTATGGAGTGCTTCTCCCTAGAATTACTTTTTTTTTATTTTATAATTTTGCCGAAATCCCTAGAATCACTTGAAATCACTATTGATTATGCCCTATCTAGTTTTATTATTACATGGCTCGTTTGTGAGTGATTTTGGAGAGGCCAATAATCACTTTTATGAATAATCACGTAAAGTAATTTTAAGTAAGTTTACGAAGAAGCACATCATCTTCCTATAATCATTTAAAATCACTAAATGTGATTTTTTTGGAGAAGAACGTGGGAGATTCTTATTCCCATAATATAGAATCACTCCCAAATAATTGTATGGAGTGCTTCTCCCTAGAATTACTTTTTTATTTATTTATAATTTTGCCGAAATCCCTAGAATCACTTGAAATCACTACTGATTATGCCCTATCTAGAATCACTCTCAAATAAGCCCATAATTTTTTTTCCTTTTTTTTTTCATAAAAATGATCCCATAATCTAACCCCAAAGACATGCTCCTCTCATTCTATTTTTTTTCTCACAATTTCCTTATCAATATAAAATGTACCTATTTCTCACAAATATCCTAAAGTGATACTATTATTTTGTTTATGTCTTATCGTTCCTTTAATAAAAACACTAAATATATTATAAATGACATTGATGTATATGCCATCAAAACGGGAAAGAAAATTAAAACTAGTGTATACCCTTATTTAATTGATGTATATTTACTAATCAGCGGTGCTCAGGTCTGCCCCGTCCCGTCCATTTGACAACTAGCGTACGTAAAATAAAATTAAAAAACTACGTGATTTAATGGGAAATTAGAGATTTTTATTTTTTACTATATAGATAAATCACTGTCGTCGTGGAAATTTGGATTAGAGATAGAGAGGAGAACAAAATCAATCGGAGCCAGATCCGCGGCCAAGTAAAAGCTCCGAGCACATCGCGCACGCAGAGATGGGGGAGGAGAAGAGGCATCAGATGATGCAGAACCTGTTCGGCGATCAATCCGAAGAAGAAGAAGAGGTTGATTCCGAGCACGAGTCCAATCCCCAGCCCAATTACCCTTCTGTATGATCCCCCGATTTTCTTTTTCGTTTTCAATTCAGATACCAATTGCATATTTGTAAATTTTTAGGTTTCGATTTTCAACTTTACCTGTCTTCATCTTCAACTTTGAAGCGATGCTGTGCTTTTGTTAATGGTGGTAGATGCTTTGGTTAGAAGAATGTGTCTTGAGGATTTGATTACGGTTGTTTTTAGGGTTGGGGGTTTATATATATGTGTGTTTTTATTTTTTATTTTCCTGAAGAAGAAGAATGAAAGATAAGAGATGGGTTGTGTTGAAGAGCAGAAGCACTTTTGTTTAACAATGATTGACACAAATATCTAATGCATTTAAGCTGAAATTGCACAAGCACAAGTTATTAGTCTTATCATATTACTTTTCAGTCAATGGATAGTGGGAACATAAATTACGTGCGAGAAGCTCAACATGCATTGGTGTTGAAGGGATCATGAGCATTTTGATTTTCTTAAAGTCATCGCTAGTCATGACTCATGAAATAATATGCATCATTTTTTAACATGTTCAATTTTAGAGATGAAAATGTGTGGAAGGTGTTTGTGGAGGAATCTTGTGATTGTAAGGAACTAAAGGAAGTCTCTGGCTCACTAAAGTAGTTGGGAAAATTGAAGGATTTTGTTTGGCTATTAGTAATATGAGTTGCATCTTATATGATGTAGTGATTATAAGTTATTAGGTCGACATGTATTTAAGTATGTAATTGTTTTAATGTATCGTCATTATGCTTATGCTGAAAGTTTGAAACAATCCTTTAGCACTTGTAACAACTATACCAGCATCAAGGTGCTTTGTGAAAACATCTTCGTGATGGTTTTGTTTTCAGGATGAAGGGGAGGGAGCACTGGAGCCTGAGGGTGAGGGTGAAGTAGAGGGCCAGGGGGAGGTAGAGGTAGAGAGTGATGCTGAGCAGCGTGATGTTAACCCTGATCCAGGAGAAAGTGAGGGCGAGAGAGAACAAAGTTCCCAAGAAGTAGAAATTGGTGATCAAAGAGAAGAAAGTGATGGAAAATATACAGACACTGATGAAAAAGAAGAGTTGACAAGCCGGAGACGAAATGTGATTGAAAGTGGGTCTGAGAGGTCTGAGGAAAACCATTACCCTGACAATGAAGATGACGAGGTTAATCAGGCTAGAAGTCCGAGGTAATCTCTCTCTCTCTCGCATAAAAATATACACTTGTGCTGAGTGAATTTTAAAGAGCATACCTGAAGCAAAATTTTTTTCTTCTCGTTTATCTTAGTGGATCTTCATGGGAATGCGCTGGCATCAAGCACTGTGCTTATTTTTGTTTCCAGAGAAACAAAAAAACTTACTGTTAGCTTCATGTACATACACTTGTTTAGAGTAAGCAGCTGGCTAGTTTGACTAAGGGGAAACTTGATTTTTAACTTTAGATCCCCTGACGAGGAGAAGGACCATACTCACATCGCACACTCTGCTGTTCGTAATGTATTTGGTGACTCTGATGAAGAAGAACCAACAGATTACGCTGTTCAAAATGACATTGAGCATGAACCAAATGTGAGTACCAATTTGAAAACCAATATTCTTAAATCTTTCATTTGTTGAGGCTGTTGAAGAGTCATAAATTTTAAAATGATTTATACGTGTGTTCCTGCCTTAGAGATCCCCAATGGAAGAGGAAGGGAGCTATGGAAAGAGTCCAAGACTAGAGGATGTAGTGGCTGATGAAGATGCTAGATATGATTCAGAAGAGGACAATATTGAGGCTAAACCTAGAGAGAAACCGGTTGGCCCCCCATTGGAACTAGAGATTCCACTGCGTCCGCCTCCTGCTCATCCAGAAAAGGTTTGAATCCTTATTCTACATGGGGGACTCACTTTTAAAATATTAAATCTTTTGCTCTGTGTATGAGCATCTAAGACCACATTAGATGGATGCAATCTATTTTTTTGTAAAAGTGCATTTAAGTTAAAGATGCTAAATTGGTTAGTATTTATGCTCTATAGTTTTCCATTCCTTCATCTTCTTTATTTCACTTGGGCACTTTTTGGGATACTTTGGAATTACTTGACTGCTATTGTTTATACTCACTATCGGATTATGAAATAATTAGAAGAAATGTCATAACTATTTCAATTTTTTTGACTTGGTGGAACATTTTGATATTCAAATGTTATCCTTATGCAGATGAACATGATCAAAGTTTCAAATATTATGGGCATTGACCCCAAACCGTTTGATCCAAAGACATATGTGGAGGAGGATACATTTGTGACAGATGAATCAGGATCTAAGAAGCGTATACGTTTGGAGAACAATATTGTGCGATGGAGGAGAGTTAGAAATCCAGATGGCACAACATCGGTAAGTAATTATCTTTGTTCTATTCTGTTATACATGCAAATTGGTGCTTTTTTTTTGTCATAATAGGAAAACTTTGTGTGTTTGTGTGTATGAACCTTAACATTTCGATTTATCCTATCTGTTGTTGGGTCTTTCAAATTCTCTCTTTTCATTTTGAAAGCCAATATAAGTTCAACTTCACCATAATACCCATTTTGTGCTGCACTGTTTACAAGTTTGTTTTCATACATCGTGCACTCAGTAGTGTTTAACCTATTGTTTCCTATGATTTGTAGTGTGAAAGCAATGCACGCTTTGTGAGATGGTCTGATGGCAGTTTGCAGTTGTTAATTGGGAATGAAGTTCTAGATATATCCGTGCAAGAAGCACAGCATGATCAAGCACACCTATATCTCAGGCATGAAAAGGTAAAATTCCTAAATCTGTTGGGTGTGTCCGTGTGTGTATGTCATTCATGAATATATGCATGGCATACTCTGTTTGCATCATAAATTTCAGAAAAGATTCCAAAAATGTTTGAAGACATTTCTGAACTGCCAACTTAGAAATTGCTCATATTCTGTTCTAGAAAAACTTGGTATCCAAGATAATTTGTTCCTAATTTCCTGTGCTTTGTACGTGCAGGGAATCCTCCAATCACAAGGAAGGGTTCTGAAGAAGATGAGGTTTATGCCATCGTCCTTATCATCAAATTCACATCGACTGTTGACTGCTCTGGTTGATTCTCGACATAAAAAAGTGTACAAGGTTAAGAATTGCGTTACTGACATCGATCCTGAGAGAGAAAAGGAGGAGAAAGAAAGGGTAATTTGTTGCATATTGTAGTTGATTCTGTTTTGTATGTTGTGTCACTGAACATCTAAATTGATTTTTTTCGTTTGGTGTTTGTAGGCTGAAAGTCAAACAATCAGAGCTAATTTACTTCTTAATCGGAAGAGGGAGAAGGTCAGTCGAAAGTATACACCGACTGTGGACAGGAGGCGCCAACTTTCACCTGGTTTCTTGGAAGATGCTCTTGATGAGGTATGTTCTTGATATAGGGGTAGGGGGTGAGGATGGAGAGTGGACAGGATGGGAATTCCTTTGTGTTCTCGTCATTTTCAAGGTTTTGTGTTCTTTTACAGTACACTCAAATGATTAGTAATTTTTCAGTTTATGCCATTTGAAGATTCTCATTTTTCATTCTTTTTGTGGATGTGGAAGGCCCTATAATAATTTTCTAGTACATAACTGGAATTTTTTGTTTATTTACCTATCCATTCAGACCCAAGTTAGGTCTCTTAGTTGATCATTTTGGTGTTCAGGATGATGAACCGGATTATTATGAGTCTCGTCATTCTCGCCGCCATATAGAGGAGGATTTGGAAATGGAAGCTCGAGCAGAGAAACGCATTTTGAATGCTAAGAAGGTCGTATAACTTGAGCTTTACAATTTTCCCTTATAGTATATTGTTTCTGCTAAACTTGTTGACTCTGGGAATGTTACTCACAGGGAACTAAAGACATCCCTCGCAAGTCATCCTTGCCAACTGCCAAATCATCTCGTCGTTCAATGGATTTCTCTGATAGTGAGAGAGGCGAGTCTGAGTATGAAACTGATGGGGAAGAAGATGAGATATCTCCTCCACGTAAGAGGGTTGAGGATCCAGAGCCAGAATATGAAGATGAGGAAGAAGAAGAAGAAGAAGAACACGAAGAAGCCGAAGTTAATGAAGCATCCGATGAGGAGGAGGCTGAGGTATGTCCCTCTTCTTTTGAGTAGAAATGTTTCTGTATTATAATTTTCAGCATGTGGTTCTGTTATATTGTTACCATAAAAATAGACTCGGAAAGTGTTGCATCACGAAGATATTAAATAGGAATTATATGGCTCCATAATTCTTTCTTCTGAGTTGGCTTGAGAACAATTACGATCAATTAACCATTCAGTTTTCTATTGAACCTACTTGCTTGTAATTCTTCAAAGGTAGGGCGATTTTACTTATGTCAAGAATTAGTACGCTTAACATGTTCTAGTATGCTTATTACAATTTAATATATTTTAAATCCTATTTCTTGGATATACTTGTAGGAACCTAAGCAAAAGGCTAGGGAGTCTGGACACAGTCACAAGCGCAAGGAAATCGAGTCAGATGAAGACTCACCTCCTAGGAAGGCTGCACCACATCGCAGAATGGCGGTTGTTTATGATAGTGATGAGGACTAAAATCTTCGTTTGGATTTTTGCATGTAAGTACTTCAGACTATAAGGTACCTGGTTGTTTTTTGTTCTTTTCGTTTGGGACATAATAGATTTGACAAAGTCAGTTCTTTTTTGTCCAACGTTGAGAAAGATGTCATGGATTTTGAGTTTTGCTCTTGAATTGATCTCATTATTTTGCAGAAACCCTGGCCAGCCTGCGCTCATCCTGGGGATTAACCGAAGACAAGATCAAATGCCATGGGTTCAAATGATAGATATGAACCGTTCGTTGCAACTGTCTTTGCATCCAAACTGCCATGGGGTTCATATCTATTTTTCTTCAAATGTTGGCTTTGGTGTTAGAACTCTGTTATCTGTCTTTGTGTCTTTGTGTCTTTGTGTATATATATACCCACAAGTAGTTTGTTGATTGTTATATTGGGAAATTGATACTGAAACTCGGGAGATCTGTCATACAGTTTTTGCCCCTTGAAATCTACAATCTTATTGATAGCAAATTAACCCACAAGTTTGATTTCTAATTTGAAATATTTCTTCTGATTACGTAGTTTGAATTTGTTTGGTTGATGAGAAGCTATACAGTTCCATTTGGGCTGAAAAAATAAATAATTTTTGTAGGGTTTTCAATTTCAATTTTAATTTTAGTCCTTGAATTAAAAGCCTAACACAAAATAGCTAAACAAACAAATCTTTCATCTTCTCTGATCTTTATCCACCCGTTGGACCTAAGAATTTCTGGCATGGTCACGTGTTAGGCCACAGGACTCAATAATTTATCGCATTAAGAGCAATATGGGAAGATTATATGAGTAATAAGATAAAAAGAATAAAATCTAATTTCTTATTTATTTATTTTAAAAATAAATAAATATTCAAGTATAATTACTTTTTCAAAGTTGAAATGATGAAAATTGAATAGAGTTTTTGAGTTTTTAATTAGCAACAAATTACTTTTGGGTTTTCGATATGATAGGTGATTGGAACGGGCGGAAGCTACTGGATGGATAGATGGTGCGTTTCGAAGCAAAAGGCTTTAATAGCATTGCCATTTTTTTTATGAACGAAGATTCTGGAAATTACGAAAAGCCCGTGAAAGCTTCCCGCTTCGTCTAGTACATTCTGGGTGCTGTCGTGTCGGCCAGATGCGTCTCCTTAAAACTCACTCTCCCACACTCCCAAGCTTCATTCAGACAAGAACACAGAATCGGCTCTGTTTTTGCTAAACTAAAACAAAAGAAGGCAAAGCAATCAAGCGCATAGAAGATCAAAGTAGCCAAACGCAATTCCACAATACCCACCATTGTCATAGAAAGTTGCAGCTTCAGCTTCCATCTTACAAGCACAAGGTATGAGCTTCAGCTTTCATCTTACAAGCACAAGGTATGTGGTGCAAGACTTCCTTTTCTCGTTTCTCTCTTCTTTTAATCCATGAATTTCAGACTCATTCAGTTCGGTTCTCGTTTTTGGGTTGAACCATTTAAGTTAATATGCTTGTAGCAAAGCCTCTTGTCTTTTTTCGAATTTTAGCGAAATAAGTTGTTGACCTAAGATTGTGTTTAGGTTTTTAATTTTAGCCTTGCTATATTGTTAGTGTGAAGTGAATATTTAGTGGTTCATTAATCTCCCAACACGCTGTGGGCATGTCTCGAATTGTGGTTTAACCCAACAATGCATTATGCATGCATCCTTGACTCAATTTTCAGAAACCCAGAAAAAAGCTTAAAAATTTCTTATTATTTTTTAATTTTCGCTTGCGAAAAACATTGTTTTATGTATTGAAGAAAACAATTTTAATGATTCATGAATTTCGTCCCATGCATGTTGTTTTGGATGAAGCGTTGTGCAGCTTTTGATCCTGACTTTTCTTTTTATGAAACTCTTGATCCTGGCTTTGCATATGCATTAATGTTGTTTTTTTGTTGTTTGGTAGTGTTTCTTGCGTATCAATTAACTGGTGAAGGAAATGAACCCTGACAAGTTCACCCGCAAGACCAATGAGTCTCTTTCCGGGGCTCATGAGCTGGCTACGGATGCCGGCCATGCGCAATTCACTCCACTCCACCTTGCATCCGCGTTGATTTCTGATCCTGATGGCATTTTCAGGCAAGCAATTGCCAACGCTAGTGGCAATGCAGAGGCTCCACGGGCCGTGGAGAGAGTGTTCAATCAGGCGCTCAAGAAGCTTCCATCTCAGTCCCCTCCCCCGGAAGAAATCCCAGCCAGCACTACTCTCATCAAAGTGATTCGAAGAGCTCAGGCGGCGCAGAAGGCAAAAGGGGACACTCACTTGGCTGTTGATCAGTTGATTATTGGGCTTCTTGAGGATTCCCAGATTGGGGATTTGTTGAAAGAAGCTGGCATTGCCCCGGCCAGAGTGAAATCGGAAGTCGAAAAGCTTCGTGGGGAGGGAAAGAAGGTGGACAATGCCCATGGGGACACCACTTTTCAGGCATTGAAGACTTATGGACGAGATCTTGTTGAGGAGGCTGAGAAGCTTGACCCGGTTATTGGCCGAGATGAGGAGATAAGGAGGGTGGTTCGGATTCTCTCAAGGAGGACTAAGAACAACCCAGTTCTAATTGGAGAGCCAGGAGTTGGAAAAACTGCTGTGGTTGAAGGCTTGGCTCAGAGGATACTGAGAGGAGATGTTCCTAGTAATCTAGCGGATGTGAGGCTCATAGCATTGGACATGGGTGCTTTGGTGGCGGGGGCAAAGTATAGAGGAGAGTTTGAGGAGAGGTTGAAGGCTGTTTTGAAGGAAGTGGAAGAGGCTGAGGGGAAGGTGATTCTGTTCATTGATGAAATTCACCTTGTTCTTGGTGCTGGTAGAACAGAGGGGTCGATGGATGCAGCCAACCTCTTGAAGCCAATGCTTGCTAGAGGTCAGCTCAGGTGCATTGGTGCAACAACTCTTGAGGAGTACAGAAAATATGTGGAGAAGGATGCTGCATTTGAGAGAAGGTTCCAACAGGTTTATGTGGCTGAGCCCAGCGTTCCAGACACAATTAGTATCCTTCGAGGGTTAAAAGAGAGATATGAAGGTCACCATGGTGTGCGAATTCTGGACAGAGCTCTGGTTGTTGCTGCACAGCTTTCAAGTCGATACATCACAGGTATGGACTCAATTAGCTAATGGATGTATAGTTTCTTGTTTTACATTTATATAAACTGAAGCTCTGGCCGTGTTGCTTAAATTTTCTTGGCATTGAATTTCTCTTTTCTTTTTATGTATAGGGCGCCATCTCCCTGACAAGGCAATTGATCTAGTTGACGAAGCCTGTGCAAATGTGAGAGTCCAGCTTGATAGTCAACCTGAAGAAATTGATAACCTCGAAAGAAAGAGAATGCAGCTGGAAGTTGAGCTTCATGCACTTGAGAAAGAAAAGGACAAGGCTAGCAAAGCTCGTCTGGTTGAAGTGAGTGCTAGACCTCCAATCTATTATTAGAGAATGTTTTTCTTCCCCTAAGTTGCAGATTCTGTTTTTAGAGAAGTTGTTCTTGTTCTTCTGTTGGCTCTAACATTTAATTCACAGGTGCGAAAAGAGCTTGATGACTTGAGAGACAAGCTTCAGCCCCTGATGATGAAGTATAGAAAGGAGAAGGAAAGGATTGACGAGCTTCGAAGGCTTAAGCAAAAGCGCGAAGAGCTCTTAATCGCTTTAGCAGAGGCTGAAAGAAGATATGATTTAGCCAGGGTTGCTGACTTGCGGTATGGGGCTATTCAGGATGTGGAATCTTCTATTGCAAAACTTGAAGGTAGTACCGATGAAAATCTGATACTGACAGAGACGGTTGGACCGGACCAAATTGCAGAGGTTGTAAGTCGCTGGACAGGCATACCTGTCACAAGGCTTGGCCAGAATGATAAAGATAGGTTAATTGGGCTTGCTGAGAGGTTGCATAAGAGAGTAGTGGGGCAAAACCAGGCAGTTGATGCTGTTGCAGAGGCTGTTTTGAGGTCAAGAGCTGGCCTAGGAAGACCCCAACAGCCAACTGGTTCATTCCTTTTCTTGGGTCCAACTGGGGTCGGTAAAACTGAGCTTGCAAAGGCTCTTGCTGAGCAACTCTTTGATGATGAAAATCTGATTGTGAGAATTGACATGTCTGAGTACATGGAGCAGCACTCTGTTTCTCGCTTAATTGGTGCTCCACCTGGGTAAGTGCATTTGCAATTTTTCTTCATACGTATGTTTCCTGAATTTAGCGTTATAAAATCTGACTCATTAACATTTTACAGGTATGTTGGTCATGAGGAAGGTGGGCAACTCACAGAGGCCGTGAGGCGGAGGCCTTACAGTGTCTTATTGTTTGATGAAGTGGAGAAAGCACACACAGCTGTTTTCAATACTCTCTTGCAAGTGTTGGATGATGGAAGGTTAACTGATGGCCAAGGTCGTACTGTTGACTTCAGGAATACGGTGATTATTATGACTTCAAACCTGGGAGCAGAGCATCTCTTATCTGGTTTAATGGGCAACTGTACAATGCAAGATGCTCGTGATCGAGTTATGCAAGAGGTATCTTCAGTGACCCCTAACGGTGATTTGGCATGCTTATAGAATTGCTTGTTTGGTACGGTACTTAATTTGAGTTTTGGTACTTGGACAGGTGAAAAGGCACTTTAGGCCTGAGTTGCTGAATCGGCTTGATGAGATTGTTGTGTTCGATCCTCTTTCACGTGACCAACTGAGGAAGGTTGCTAGGTTGCAAATGAAGGATGTTGCAGTCAGACTGGCTGAGAGGGGAATTGCTTTGGCAGTGACTGATGCAGCATTGGATTATATTCTGGATGAGAGTTATGATCCAGTGAGTATCTCTGCGCCGAATTGTATTTTGCAAATCCAAATTTATGGTCTGCTCTACTTTTGCATGAAATACTAAACGATTATTTCATTCTTCCAATTTCCAGGTTTATGGTGCTAGACCAATCAGGAGATGGCTTGAGAAGAGGGTGGTGACAGAGTTGTCAAGAATGCTGGTGAGAGAAGAGATTGATGAGAACTCAACTGTGTATATAGATGCAGGGCCAACAGGAAGCGAGTTGGTGTATCGGGTTGAGAAGAATGGAGGGCTTGTTAATGCTGTCACGGGGCAAAAGTCAGATGTATTGATCCAACTTCCCAACGGGCCAAGGTCTGATGCTGAACATGCAGTTAAGAGAATAAAGATTCAGGAAATGGATGAGGATCATGACATGGATGAGTAAACTTCTTTTTGTCTCCAACTTTTGGCAAAAGGGTTGTAAGGAAAGTGTTATATATGTGTTCTGCAGTGAGTTTGTGAGAGTTTCTTTTGGACCTAATCAACTATACTTAATGCTATGGTCCCGAGTGTTTGAATAGTGTTTAACCTCTTGTTCCCTTGTAATGGGGTTGTTTTATATAATCGAAAGTTTGTGTTTTCTTTTGTTTAATTTCTCTTCAAGGATTATTCATATCTGTCTCAAAGACATGCTAC